AAATATCCGCCACTATCATAGCAATGATTAAGCGAATGATTCATGAGTGATCTCGTATGCGCTCTGAGTCGCACCGAGGAATGGTTTAATGAGTGTCAGAGCCAACGATGCCCTTCCTGCTTTGGTCCCGCCGGTCCGCTGAATTTCCCCGATCAAGTGTTGCCTCTCATAGCCACTGCATCCATTAATCTCTGTTCATCAAGTATCTTCACATCCTCCAGTGTTCCAACGGTGTTTCCTAAGCAACTCCGATGGGTTTTCTCCGTTTTCCGTTCTCCTCCTTGACAATTACGTGGCGCGTGCCTTGACTGCAGAAGTATCCACCACACAACCATCAAAACCTCTTCGTCCTTGTTCCTCATTTGGTGGAGAGAACCTAACCAACTTTTCATTCTATCGCCACAAGTTTCTCGCTAACAGCAACCCTTCCATCCACTCAACTCAACCTCTTGTGCCCTTAACTGCGTCATATACCGAGGTCCTAAACCCTCAGGAGAGGGCGGACATAACGCGGGCATACGGTCGGATCGCCTCTACTTACCAAAGACACTTCAACAACACGCCGTCCGGCAACCTCCGCCAATTGTTATATCTCAATAACAACTTTTTTATTATTGCTTTCAGGCCCCAGCATCTCTATTGCAGAAACCTTGCTATCCCAAATAAGATTAAAAATTGTTTTCTTTGTTCTCTCTGAGAATTAGAGTATTTTCTTGGATCGAGAAGATAGAGTTTGTTGATTTTAGGAACTAAAATTTATAGATGTTGTTGGGAAATTTTCAATTCGTACAACATCGCGGATTTTGCCAATTATCAAATCAAGATATGACAAAACAGATAATTTAGATAACACGATTTTTTTCTTTCATTCTATGGCAGATTTGGCAGAATTGCACTCGTTATTATTGGATAGTGATGGTTAATTTAGCGGAGAGTTTACATAGCATGGGAACATACATTATGATAAATGGCAGCTTTATGTATAGATGAATCAAAAATTAATGCATGGCAATTCGGGCTTTTAGTAAGCTCTGTTTTCTGCTCTATGGCGATGATGAACTTATTTTGACACGACCGTACACTAAGAAAAAATTTCATTAACAATTAGTGCGCTGCCCACTAGTCCTGGGACAAACCAGAGGACCACCAAGGAATTCGGATGGCCTATCCAAAAAATTCGAAATTGGCTTGAATATAGCATGACTGGTATGAATCTCACAAAAGGTCGACTTGGACCGGTTTACTTCCTTCACGTATATACCTAACTGAGTCCAACTTAATTTTATTCTTTGCTTTGTTTTTATTAGCTATTAAGCTGAATAACAATTAAAAACAATTTGGAAGTTAGAGAGTGTCCCTATATATACATGTTAGCGATCATATTTACCTTCAACGAGTCATAGAAGATTGCCAGATTTCCCAGACAAAATTGTTTTGGTTGCACAGTTGAATTAATTTGAGAGTTTTCGAAAAATTTTCATTGAAAAGGCAATGCAAATTGTGAAATTTCTGGGAAATTCCCAGCCACTAAAAAAGGTGGTATTAGATTCGTCGTGTTTTTTATAACGATGGTCAAAATGTTTTCCAAATCAATTTAGTTAAATACCTCTTCACATGAAATGATTTCCGTGCACACAAATCCCAATAATCCCACCACCATGCGCATATATTCCGAAATATTCTAATTCTCGGTAAATTTCTCATTCGTACTTCGTAAATGAATTTACCTAGTTGGGATAATCATGGAGTTAAAAATGGCGAGAGCACTGGGATATTTTCGGGAGAGTACAACAAGATTATCCTTAACATTATTCCACAAATTTGAAGTATAATTTGATTCTCTGAGTTGTTTGATAAATTTCAATGCTTTGAGAAAGGTTTCCACGTGGATAAATTAACTCCTTGTCAAAGGTCATGTATATGGGAATTGTGGGACAGTAATCCAACCCATTTGATCGCTGAGGCGAAACCCGTTCTGGAGTTAGAGAAATTATATGTATTCCGATGTAATTTCCCGTTGCGCTCTTAGTCTTAGGGCATTAGTCGTAACATGGTTGGCATCATCAGCAGTTTATACCTTGCATCACTCCAACACTATCTTATATGTCACTATGTATATCAATTCCTTGCACAAAATTTTTCCATTGTTCTCTTGGAATCTTCAATATTTAAAGTTTCATTGAGAATTTCACGAGATCACGAGACCATTTTGCTTTGAAATTGGATTAAAAAATAATTGAATAGAAAGTGTTTATCCCATCAACTCAATTTTTAAGAGCGTAGTTTATTTTCCAACAAATAAATCGTCAAGCTATGCCATTTGATCACATGAACAGCTAATTCAAAGTCTGAGTAAAGTTTCTTGGGGCTTTTGCCATTGGTACTTTGAAATCGGTTTCAATCGCTAGCGCGTGGTTTCTGCTATCGTTTATGTCAATTAAGAGAATGTTTAATACCAGAGGGTACTCGACAGCTTGTGGCTGAAGGGGCTGTAATACCTTTGACAGAGAATGGTGGATGAAATTAGAAGGAGGAAAGAGTGGATTGAGAGTAACACCTGGACGCTCTGAAGCGACTGAGCATGAAGCTTGACATTACGTTCCCTCTGAGCACTTTTTTATTTCGGATTCATCGAGAACTGAATATTGAAAATTGAGAATAAGGTGGTCAATTCAGTTATGAGTAACTATCGAAACATTAATGATCATTCTCATAAAACATTCGCAAATGCATTTGAAAACGGAAATTTCATTAATGTCGGCGGCGCTAGTAGAATGATAAAAGCGAAGTGGAAGCTATTTGGGAAAATGTTCAGAAGTGGTCCTTGCAGACTGGCCGGCGCTGAGTTCATTGCGCTCTTCAATGAGTAAACAAAGCCGTAACTCTCCTCACCGAGGAATCAATGCTCAAGGAGTTTGCAAGAGGTAAAACAAAACCACGAAAATCAACATTCATCTTACTTTCCGTATATTCTTGCTAGAGTAGAGTCATGATACACCCGGGAGGTAAGTGGAAAGAGAAAAACTAGACAGCGGCGTCGCCGAGTGATGGAGGAGGAATGAACGGCAGGGAAAACTTCTCCGCTATGAATTGAGTGATGTAGATCCTGTTGGGAGAACTGCATCCATTTCTATGTTTTATATTGACATATCTATTCGACAGGGCTTTTTATCATTTGAAAATTCGGGGGAGTTATCGGATTTAGTACTTTGTTGAAATTCCAAATATATCGTTTTGTGGTTATTGACTACACGTTTTATGTTGTAGCTTATGATTGCTGGGTCGACAAATTTTTCAAAACAGATATATTTTTGATGATTTATAAAATGTTTTTGGAGACAATGAAATCATTTTTTTTATTTCGACAATTCGTTTTGTGAATTAATAGTTACAAAGTATTTCTTCAAATTGCGCTGAAAATCCATGCAAATTTTCAATCTATGGGCACTATAAAGACGCGAATTCGCTATATATCGTCTAAATTTTCAATAAAAATATAAGTATTTAAAGAGTATATCGATTTTATAATGAAATTACCATTGAACGGAAATTTTTCATCAGGAACATAATGAATACACTGATTGAGTAGAAGAAGTGGAGTGAAAAATTGAATATTGTGTAATAGAAAGTTGAATGTCGGTCTGAGATGGGGACATGAAAGGAATAATTTTCATCCCGAGATTTATCAGAATAATTCTGGGACATGTGAAGCAACATTGGGATCGAATACAGTATAAGGATGTGATGAAACAGTCCATGCGTCTTTGAATCAGGAGTGTTGAAAGGAGGATAAAAGTGAAGGAAAAATGGGTGGCCAGGAGGTAACCCATCGCCCAGTTTCTTATTTCTCTGGGGAATCCATTGCTTCTCGCACTAGCGGTGCACATAGGTGGACCCGTTATATGTTCTCGAGATCGGAACTCACTTTTCCGTTCAACGGAAGAGCATGCATATTTCATGCTGGTGCTGTATGAAGAGAAAGAGAATAAAAAGTTAACCCCTACCCGCTACTTCTTTACCGCCAATGTGCACGTAATGCACGTAGAAAAAATAATAAAAAAATTGCGGGAAGTGAAGGTTATGCCGGACCTTGTGCCCTAAATCGAGGTGAATTCACTACAAGTTTTGCCGGACCAAATCCGTCTTCTTTCACTGATATTGATACTTATTGTTCGATACTCGACAGAGATTTATGGTATTTTCCAACATAAATGGCAAATACTGGGAAAAGTTTATATTGTTTCAGACATGGGCGAATGCAAGATAAAACGTGGATCCAGCGTCGAATGACAGCTGATGTATACTCGTGCTACAGTGTTGGATATTTTTTTGACTTTTTCATAAACGAAGTAAAATTTATGAGAATGAATCTAGTACTCTACTAGGAGACCAATTAGTTCCATTTTGATGTATTCATTAAAAAACGCCGACTCAATCGATTCGGCGCATTATTTTCAAATTGGTGAGGTCGTTTTAATTAAAACTTTGGTAGCGAATAATTGAACGTCGTCAACGTTGGGATGTGTAGAAGAGTAGACTGACTGTCGAAAACACCTTTTCCATCAATACAGTAAAATATCATTTGAATGGACTTTGCCTCATTATCTATGCGAAATAGAGCGAATGTAACATCTTTCCCGAGCAACTTAATGGTTTTTTTTTCAATTTAATGATATGATGGTGCCAAATATAATTAAATTACCCCCCATTTTTTTCATTGTGATAATGATATGATAAATATGATAAAATACTGTTATTATGAAAATACAGACATGTTCATTAAATATTTTAGTAGCCATTACAAAGGATAATAGTAAGGAATAAAATGCTTCGGGAACATGCTACGTGCATTAAATACTGATTTAAAACAACTAATTCCATTCACATATCATAATGTAAAATTTGACCGATAAAAAAAACGGAGAATGTGTTCAAGGCAAACATGAATCATGAGATATGCAAATAAGTGGATCACCCAAGAATTCTGTGTGTGCTTTCAGGTGGCCTGGATGCTCTTCGACAAGAGTGCTATTCTCACGGTCCATAATCACGTGATAACGAGAAACCCCAGGATATCGGTGACCCACGACAAACACAGAACCTGGTACTTGCATATTAACAATGTCCACGAGGACGATAAGGGCAAGTACATGTGTCAGATTAATACAGCAACGGCCAAGACGCAGTACGGCTATTTAAATGTCGTTGGTGAGTGTTTTTTTCAATTTTTCCAATTTTGCTTCCAAATGGAATCATAAGAATCGTTCTATTTTCACATTCTATCATTTTGATTGGAAATTATGTTAAATCTTCTGTAACGTAAAAATACGGAATTTGGCTTGTCGCATCATAGGATGGCTCTCGAAAGCAAGAAACAATTTTTGTTTCAATCTTTTTTTTCGAATCTTATTTTTTCTCCCAACACAATACAAGAGGACATTTACATTATTTTCAAGTGAGCATGCAAAACGAAATTACGTTGGATTATCCTCTCAACATTCGATTGTCATCTACAGTACATTGTGAGTCAAGCCGGGAAAACTGCTATTTTCCAGTCCCAGGCGTGGAAATAGTAACGCGAGCTAATCTAAAATTTTTTGGGGAAAATTATTCAAGGAGCGGAAATCATTTCTCTCATATGGATTATTCGACTTATTTTATTTGTTTATAGTCAAGAGCAATGCACTTATCTTCAACTTATGGTTGAATGTGTCATCACGAACCTAACATGCAAATAATTATAATAAATGTAGTACAAATTAGAATTATTCTTAGATGAATGACAAATATAACATTTTTCAACTCGTTTAGCTATCTTGAAGTGTATTAATAAACTTAAATCATATCAACATCGTATCTTTTTGGAATGATTAGATGAGTTTTAATTTTTTTCTTTCAAATTAAAATGTGTGAACACCATAGATGATCTTATAAATTGAATAACTATTAGTCGTTAGCTGAACAGGCTTAAAAAATATCTTTGAATTCTACAGACCACAACGGAATAATACAATTAAACCATATAATTTCGAGAATTCATCACAAACTCCACTTGTTAGAATTTTCCAAGACGTGTCAAGTGGTGAAACAAGAAAAAACATGTTACAAAGGTAATTCTGAAATAGGAAAAGTTTTGAAGTTCAGTATCCCCTTAATGATCGGACGAATGATCCAACTAGCTCCGCCATCCTGAAAGACGTATTAATATCCCGAGTTTTGACATTGTCCGTTCATTACAACTACGAAGAGCAAGCGAGAGATGAGTGCAATAGAGGTGGAGCAATCAGAGGGCTAGATTAATTGTTTCCATGGAACGTAAACTCAACTGCAATTCCACCTGAGCAGAGGTCTCCTTGACTCCACCACAGTCTCATCCTCACTTTCGCGATAATACCAACAGCCAACATAATACCAGCGTGACACAAGTCATAACTCAAGGAGGATTCTAGGCCCGTTATATTGCATGTCCCACTTCCCCCAGTTCCTCCGTTAAAATCTATTACATTTTCTTCCTATTCTACCCTTTCGTTTTTCCCCTTTTTTATTCTCCACGACTTGAGAAGAGGTGAACGTGGTCTTTCGTACAATTTTAACTGTCGTCGGCTATCGTACTCTCTCACCGCTTTCCCACCCTTTGGCTAACCGTAAATAAAGTGAAACCGCGGGGATCGGAGTTTTATTCGATTTAAAGCCACGAGTCAAGACTACCATCTCCTCTCTTCACTCTTGCACTATCGTAAATCGTTCCAAGTTCAACTTCACTGATATATCTCAACCATTTTCCCATATACGTGCTGAATGGGCTGATTCTTGGTGGATCGCTTGGTGAAGGGAAGGCTTTTCTTGGATACACACTTGTGAGTTATCGGGGATATGTATGAAATTGTCTGCTTTGAGAATTTATCAGCTCAATTCTGTGGCATTCCGCTTTCCCACTTTACACTTGTCAATATTGTTAATATAAAGAGATCGGCTGATGTAATTACCACATTCGCGTATTAATACACCAAAATGGTATGCTGGAATTTAGTCGATTTTATAGTTTGATATTATCGAACCTAGGATTTCGGTTATTTATTGCACTTTCCTCGGGAATCGTAGTGAAAGTACGTACATCCCGTACTAGGTTCGAGTATAACGTATAAAAGACTCAATTGTATTTCCTTACCTCATCGATAAAATGTTGTGCGTTGCATAGAATTGCTAATTCATTGAAAATAAAATGTCTGGATTTAAAAATCGCCAATTTGCAGGGTACATGTGATTAAAATAGTAAAAAAAAAAAAACAATTTTAGTCCATATTCATTCGTTGCAACGAGATGACACCAAAAATTTTCGTCATATTTTCCCGTATGTAATCATCCAAAAATCGTTTGTTTTTTAATTTTCTGAGTAGCATAGCTGGTAATTACCTCAGCGCAACAGCATTTCCATTATCTATATGAAAATAAAATTGCCGTATCGAACTTGGAGGAGAATAGGGAGACTATTCCAAGAAGTGGGATTACCTGTCATTTGCAATGTAGCCAAGGCGGATAATTTTAGGGAGTTATTCAACAGATGAGAACTGTCAGTTACAAGACCATCGAATTATCGTGAGCTTTACGCGATAATTTTGTACAGGCCATTAGGGCTCTTGACGTCTTTCGAGTTCCTGAAATAAACAGAAAAGTTCTTCGGATATAAAATCCGTAAAATAGTTTCTCCGACAAGAGTCGAGTGAGGAGATTTCAGTCTTGATCGATTTGACGAATTGAATCATTCTGTGTTCATGGTTAGAGAAGGCATAAGAGGGTTATGCCGTTCTCAGTCTCAGTGCCATCGTAAACATCTTCGGAAGAAGTCACTTCGATGGTTACTCCTATTTCCGTCTACCAATGCGTGCAGCGAAACGTTATTTGCTTTATTCCCTATTCTCCTTTCCTTCAAACGCCATTTCCCAGCCTCATTTCTCATCCCGGATGGGAATATACAAGCGCAAAAGAGATCCACAACGTTTCCACAAAATTCACTTCAGCCGAAACTTCTGTTCTTAATTTTTACTTTTCTTTCCAATTTAAAACTCTCACTATTTGAATATGAAAAGGATGCTCATTCTAATTTCTTTTTCACTTTACTATGTGTTTATAGAACAAATGATTTTTTCGAAAAAACAAGTCATAGCGACAGACAATGACATCAACTTGAATGAATCAATTTGCTTAAGTGAGATGCGACTTGAAGAGTAATATGAGAAGATATAACACAATTGAATCGCCCAGTAAAATCAAGCGGAGCGATAAAAACGTACTACACTGGCGCACCTGCATTTACATTTCTCAACCAAGAACAATTCAATATTCTCCAATACCCTCAAGATATATCACACCAAGGTTCGTTAGGCCTTCTCAAGTCGGCAATTATCGATCTGCCTATTCCATTATGAAGACATTAGTCGACATCGATAGTTTCTGGGCTATTCTGTCGTCGCTACTCCTGTATTTACAGAACGACTATTCCTTCGTTGTTTTAGTGATAAATTTTTCAAATTTGTATTCCCCCTTCATCAGTGCTTTTGACATCTTATCACACTCTCATAGCTTATTCTGAACCCTGTCACAAATTTCTCCCGCTTTTTCATGGTTATTGTTAACACTCAGTGGAAAACTCCTAGACGAGTTTTAAGGTGATAGTTTAATACAACCAGCCACAATAGTATACGTGAAAATGTTTGCAGCGGCTTATAGCCTATAAATTAGCTTCCTCTGTGGAGAATCATCGTGGGAATCGAAATTGGATCCACATGGAAATGAGTGAAAAATCGATATCAATCCGATATTGCTTTTATAATTTGATGATGCTTGATGCTGGCAGGGTGGTTAATGAATCAAATATCAATATCAAATATTAATGTAGATGTTTCTTTAATGAAGCCTCCAGAGAGCTAAAGCAAGAGATTGATTTCTGAAATTGTTATCTATTCATGAGGTTTGATGGTGCATTCGCAACTGATTATCCATTTAATGATATATGCCATCACAATTCTTAACTATATTTCACAAAACGAGAGCTCTATAAATATTTAAATGATTTTCAAATTACAAAAGACTGAATAGTGTTGAAAAATTAATGAAATGAGAATTATAAAACTCTCAGATCAGAATTAAAGAAATATCACTATGTGAATATATTTCAGTATTTAATATAAATAATTCAATATTGAAATGTAACTGATGAATTATTCTTTGATACTGCCATACTCTCTTTACTGAAATGTATAGGATACCCAAATGACAAAAACTGGAGTTTTTGTAAAAAAAACTGAGCCAAGTAAAAGTTTCGCTCAGTTGATTCCGTACAAAACTCGTGTTTTGCTAAAATATAGCGGTCTTAGAAATTTAAAAAAACTCGGAAAATGTAAATGAAAACGCCACGAAAAGTGACACGACTAGATTGAAAGGATTCAATAGTGAAAATAAAAAAATCAGTAGAGGCAGGACCAACTTATTTAGCCCGGTTTTTCCGAAGAACTAGAGTTCAAGTCAAAGATTATCTTCGGTCACTTTTAATTATTAATCAAATTTCATTTTAGGATAATCCTGTAAATAAAATCGCGCCATATAATTATGTCACTGTGCACAGATTTCATGTAACTTGTGGCGTTTGTATTTTATGGATTGAATACGATTGTATCGTGTATAGATACACCGTAGCTCTCGGCCTGATTTGGTGGATAGAGACGAAACTTTTACTTAGCTGATACGCTACCGCGTATCTCGATTATTGTGACGCTCAAATATCGCCATATTCGTTCGTAGAAAAACTAGAATTCAATAATTGTTGGAGTTTATAGATTAATTTTGTTAGCATTAACCTAATTATTTTACCAGAGCAATAAGTCACTAATCATTTTCTCTGGCTGCATCATGGATATAGCTCAATGTTAATACTAGAGTGTCAACGAGTGGATGTGATAATTCGGGGAATATCTGGGGCTCTGGTGCACTAGTTCCTCAAAGAAGATAATATGCAGGAAAACACGTGAAAAACGCTGAGGGATTTTTCACGGTTGTTTGCATTCATTTTTCTCCGTGTTTAATCGCGTATCATTCCACTTAATCCGTATATTTAGGGGTACTTGGGGGATTATCATGCATTTTGCTTTGCTAAAAGAGACTACCATATTTCGTGTCACTCGACTCTTTTTGGTGATTCCAAAGTCGCTTTGGTTGCTGCAGTCGCCATAATATTTTTGAACCGTTCAAAATGTTTGGCAATCGACAATTTTTTTTGTTTTGAGAGGGATGATAAATACTGCAGACTATTTGCTGTCGTCATATGTGCCTATGTTTGCACCTCATTTTTTATGGAGTGAGGGATTAATATTTATTTCAGACCATTATTCGTGATGAGTGTTAAAAATATTAAAAATAACCAATCATCAAAATATGAGTGTTTTCTTGGATGTGTTCAGAAGATCGATAGCATTTCTATAGTGTTTAATCACGAATAGACGTTAAATTTGCCTCTCTTTTCTCTCTTTGCATTACCTTTTGATAGATTCCAGTGCACGTACTCCACAAAAATCGATTTCCATGTAAAAAGAAATGACTTCCACTAGGATCATGGAAATGCATACCAAACCTATCAGCGCGGCACTGGAGGCTTTCACTCACTTCAGGATGAAATGATTCTAGTTTCCATACACGTTCCTGTAATCCTCCCTCTATATATGCACGGGATAACGACATATATTTCATCTCAGCTTCTATTTAATATATTTTTTTTTTATTTCAGTGCCACCAAATATCGATGACTCGCAGAGTTCATCAGACGCAATCGTGCGGGAAAATGCTAATGTCACTTTGTCATGCAAAGCAACGGGAAGTCCGACGCCAATTATACGCTGGAAACGTGACGATAATGAAAAAATTGCTATAAACAGATCATTAGAAAGTGAGTAAATTTATCAAATCGTTATGGTAGTATAAAATTTCTAGAAATTTCACTCAAGAAATCATCTGGATTCACGAGACAATACTAGCACATGATATAACCCAATATTAACGATAGATTACCTTTTAATATTTACCTGGTAATAAAATCAGCATATGAATATTTGGCGATAGAGCGCCTCGCCCGAATGGAAAACTAGCTCAGGTCTGGATCAAGTTCGGATCAAGTCAGACTTGCTGTTGGGTCATATACTGATCCTACAACTTGATGAGGACTTGATCAAGCATGTAACGCCTTGACTCGATCCGGATTTGATCAGGCGTGCCGAATCAGGGTTTTATCAACCAAAACGGATTAGTACTTGATAACAGAAATTAAAGGTATTTATGAATGATAATGAATTAGAAATAAAAAATTAATCATTTTTTTACATTATATTATCATTGGATACCTACTATAATTCATGCTGAAAAAACGCAATTATTTTTGCCGACACTGGGGATTGAACTGGGGACCTTACAAGTACTAATCCTATGCCCTATGCACAGGTTGACCTGATCAGAATCTGTTTCGAATCATTGCAGGTGGACGAATCTCAGTTTAACTTCAGGGCCACCTGATCCGAACTTGATCAGAATGATCACAGATGAGCGAACCTCAGGTTCAGATCAAGCTCAGCATATCAGAACCTGATCAGAGTAGTACGGACCATGTTGGGTAAATCGAAGACTGATCAGTTTCTTATAAAGTTCTGCCTGATCAGTTGACACTGACCACCGCCATATCAAGTTCTGATCAAACCTCAGGCTGGCCTGACATAATTTTCACTCAGGACCTTTAATCTTATGTGCCACTTCGTTTGGCTTCATTCACTACATGATTACATGAGTTGTCACGTTGTTTTCCATTGAGTTTTTTTTCGGCAATAGAATTGAATGGAAAGAGTGCATTTTATGATCATATTCATTCGATTTTCCAGTCTCAGAGTGGGAAGGTGAAACCCTGGAAATAACGCGCATCTCTAGACTTGGAATGGGAGCGTATTTATGCATTGCCAGCAATGGAGTACCACCTGCTGTTAGCAAGCAGATCAAAGTATCAGTTGACTGTGAGTATAAATTTCGATTTATATTCTGTTCTTGTATTTTCTTTAGGTGATGGGATAGGCTGTATTTGTCCTTGCTCTTAACACGGTTTAGCGGAGCGCAAAGCTTTCGAAAAAAAAAATATAAAAAGAGGAGGATATTCTCCCTGAGAATATAGAACACAAATTAATAAATATAAGTAGAATTGGGAAATGAAATCATTCTGGAAACAGCAACATCTGTTAGTTATCAAACGACAACCCAAAGGAATTTTTGTCGCTCGAAAATCGGATGAGTTTAAAACTGAATCATTCTCTCCATTCCCTTAGATAGAATCACCGTGCGTGAGACCGTGGGGCAAATTCAACTCAATCGCTTGATGACATTACCCTATGAGAAGAACATTTAATTAATTCAATTTATATGGACGCTTTCACGCTTCTGGCAATCATTTCGACATAATTTTGTCATCATAAAAATGATTTTTTGTATTGCGTATTTTTTCCGAGAAAATTTCTCAATAAAACGAATAAACGGCTAATCCGAAATAAGCCGGTTTTCCATTGATCCTCGCGACTTCGCTAATACCATCAGTAAGAGAAGGTAAACGAGAAGTTCAAATTAAACAATCCTTGTTTCGTAATTTATTCCGTGGAATCGATATCGACAGTGGGAGAGGGTAAGAGTGGGGGCGGTAGTCACGTATACGCTCTGATTCAACTTCCCCCCATGACCTGATCCCGGCTCCTCCGACAGCCGTAGTAGCAATCTGTTATTAAAATCAGCAAAGAGAAAAATCCGTGCCGTATCTTCATGTGCCCGCCCTCCTCTCTCTTTCTCTGTCTTTTTCACCCGCAGACTCTTTATGTATTTTTCTCGCAAGCTGTCCAACGACAGACGTGTTGTAGCAAAAATTAAGCCACCTGCAGACTCCAAACGAAATTACCAAACATCCCCAACGGGCGCAGAACCACTCTCACCACTGCCTGGGTGACGATTTTTTGCTAATCTCCGCTTGCTGTAACCACACCCCCCTGATACCGTGTGTCTCCCTCTGTACCACAATCTATGCTATTTTTTTTCACAACTCATCCCTCTTTTTCCAGCACTCTTGTCAGAGCGCGATAACTCGGATCCACAGAATCCTGGAACGTGCTTTCTGTGGGTAGTTTCCCTAGAGTTTTGTTTGCTAAGTTGAATTTTTAGGGAACTCCGTCGCTGAGTGTGATTCTAATGGACACAAAATATCTGAATGACACTCACCAATTTTTTCACATTTTTCTGGAGATATATGCTGCAACTTTTGTGGGGAAATGGTTGATGCCACTAATGACGTTATTATAAAATGCGTACACTTGCTTTTTTCCAATCCCTGCTATTTTTTGAACGTCGCTTCTAAGCAAAATCTAGAAAATTCATTAACATGTGGAGTCCTTTGTTTTTTCTCAAATGGAGTTTTCTTTTTTAACCACTCATTAAAACTTAGAAATACCAATAGAAAACATGCAAGGCTATTAGGAACTTTTAAACACAATCGCCACAAAAGTGCCTTTCGTCCGAGTGACGAACAATACTTTTTGTCAGGGGCTCAGGGACCAAAACACCTTTTGAGGTTTTCATTCTACCACCCAATCACAATTTCACTTATCACAACTACACATTCCATCACTTCATGTATGCACGCCATACCAGACTGCTCTTTATAGAGAAGATTGTCTTGATTCAATAGAATAGTTTCCTGCCAATTCATTTATTTATTCATTAAGACTACTACTACTACTACTACTACTATTCTTGATGACGAGAATTCACAATAATTATAAGTTACGAGTATAAGAAAATCTTATCTGTGAAAAGCTATTGTTTTTCTACATTTCTCTGAAGCATGCGCGAGTCACAACTCACTGATAACATTTATTTGCACTTGAACAATTTTTTTTACCTCGTGAAACACCCGACGATGCGTATGAATTTCCGGGAACGATGAATTTTCATGAGGCGGTATACTCTGAATTAGCCACTGTACGTAGACCCTGTAAAACCCCTGGGTACCACCCACAGGCACTTTCTTTTTCCTCACACGCTATTCGCTCCATATACGTCGCCACGTAACAGCTACAACCGGGTATTCGCATTCATAATGAATGCGTGGAATGGCTGTAACTATCTCAAGCCCATTAGTCTCACGTACAACTAGTCAAGGTGTTGAAAAGTTAATCGTTCCACCTGCAGCGAAACTACAAGTGGATAGGGAGAATGGCGAAGGTGGCACTAGTGAAATGTCCTGGCTTCGCGGAAAAATGGAAAAGCGTGTCTTATCTTAATTGATGACAAAGATTGAGGGAAATTACATCGATAGTGAAATTAGAAGTATAAATAAAATTCCAGAAATTTCCATGGGCCTAAATGTGATAAGGCTATCAAATACAAGTACCAAGAATTTCAGTCGATATTTTTTTGCAGTTTATAATTGCTATGAAGAGAGGTTGATTCGGGAACAACGTAATCTCCGGAACAATTCGAGATTAGGGTCTTGAGTGATTAGAAGTGAACTGCTGTCACCATTCAAGACGAGTCAATTTCACTCAATTTATTGGCAGTCATCACTGCCACGTTCGTTACTCTAGAATTTAGCACAGCCCAATTTATACAATACGTGTGGAGGAGACAGATTCCGCATTGCGGCTTGATGTATTGTATTTTCACTTGCGTTAATACTACAACCTATGACAAGGCGTAATAATAATGTCATCCAGCGGGATCCAATTCACCTCGTTTTGGTCTGGCATTAAAAAATTCTCATTTCTGGTTCCCAATGGGACATACCTATTGTCACTTCAAGGTAGAGTGTAGGATAATACACTAATTGAAGAATTCGCTTAATGCTAAATTGTCAATTGAGTTGAACAGTACACATGCAATTTTTAAACGGAACCTGGAATCATATCGTTTTATTCACAAAGTGGAAAACAGGAGATTGTTTTTGCTATAATCCCATGGATTACATAAAAAGTCATGGTCTGTTTTTCCCGGGCTTTTTGTAGATCACGAAAATAATCATCACATGTCGTCAATACAGCCCATGCTTTCCCATTTCCAGGATGAAGTTGCATGAAAATTCCATGAAGCAGAAACCATATCAACGGGAAAACGCAATAGCTATGTATGTCCGAGGCAAACACTAAATTCGGAGAGTGAAAAACATGGAAGCACATATAAACACAAATATTACAGAGTGCTCGCATCATTGCTCGTATGAGGCAGCAATTACAAATTGCAGGAACCACTTTGTTGGTGGAATATCATGATGCATCCACGTTTTTATGCCTGGTGAATGTAACTTCTCGTCGAGTCCATTGGGTCTCGATGTGGGGATTATTTTTTTTTAAAGGGAGTGTATATCGATAGGAGAGCTTTTAAAATACTCTGATATTCAGTTGGAAAAATTTAAAGTAAGGGAGACACGATGAGAGGACGATACCACAAAATGAATGAGTCAAAATACAAATGGATGCTATTCATGTTTTCCACGATTTTTATCACATGATCTGAAAGACTGTCAATAATTATTTCAATCAAGATAAGATTCTTCTAGGAATAATCAGAATGAGTAATAATTGAGGAAGAGCAAAATAGTGTCAGCAATAACCATCACGCTGACCGATTTTTAATATGTCCGGAATCTTCAAGGGATTCATTCATGTTATCCTCCTACTTGTTCACCCCATTCCACGGGAAGTAAATCTCGTCGTTGTCTCCACCGAATATACACAGCTCCACGAATATTTCCACGACACAGCTTTGCACCGGTCTTGCCTCTGTTATTCCTAATCCAAGCAAGATGTTGCCCCACGACCGAACGAACGTATATCTTGGGAGAGTTACGACGATGGCGGATGACATTCACCAGAGTTGAAATGATGGGACAGGAGAAAGAAGAGGTGAAACGTTTTGGTAGAAGTAATCGTTGAAATTCCAGAGATTGGAAACAGTTTCATGTTTGATACTCTCGTTGCGAGCACAATTTATTGTGAAGAAATAAAAGTACCAATTCAAAATTGAAGTTTTTTTAAACAATTAATTCAGTCTAGTACGCTGTATTTCGATTGTAAATTGTATATCTTCTGAAAATTGCCACACCATAGTTCGTGAAATTTAATTTTTTTTGTATTAATGTAGCGTATTGAATGGAGAATTTCGGAAATCTGCCAAAGCTGGTTTGAGTGGTATCAAACAACTGAATAACTGATTTTCCAAGAATACTCTGAAACAAAGGAAACATCACCTCTTCACTCACCTCTCATCTTTCAACATTCATGAATGTGATCCCCAGGGTTCGATAAAAAAAAGCTCATCATATGAGCGGTAAACCTGCCACCGAGGAATAGTCGTGGCACGTCTCGAATACGGAAATATCAAGGAAATTTATCTTGCCGAACCTTCCACGCGATACCCCAAACCCACGATCTCGATCTTCGTTTCACAAGCATATGTGTTCAACTGTAGTGGATAAACCTACTTTTTCGTGCAGAAACTATTTCCGAGAATCCCCAACTGTTTCTACTTCCCTTAACCCTTCAGGTGCGGCTGGGTCCAGACAATGATTTATTAGCTGACGATCACTTTTTAATTCACCGACCCGAAAGTTTTGGTGAAAAAAATCATTTCGTTCATAATTTCTCTGGGCCAAAATTCAATTTTGGGAGAAAATCCCGTTTCTCCCTGCAAAATTCGTAGACACGTACGATACTAAAAAAGTAGTACTTCTCTTAGCCAACCAGAAATGGGCGCAAATGATTTTTGTTGTCACTGCGTCCACTTCATACCGGCCATCGTCGCCAATTGATTCCGTCAAGTCAGACTTATCGATAACGTGATTTCTCTGAACTCTCAAAAACTGCGATATCGCGTAAAGCTCCAGTAAACGAATCCCTTAGGATCCCGAGACAGATATGGATTCCAAATCGTTTCCTATCAAAATTTCAGTGGCGAAATTCTAATGCTGACGTTGTTGCGCATACTT